AATGATATTTACTTGTATAAAAAAATGTATTATTTCCATCCACTCTTACAATACCTTTAACTTTAATGATACTTGTACTATGCGGTTCTTGAAATTGTTGATATCCTTTTTTCCATATTACAATATAACTAATCGAAATAAATATTTTTATTTATTTTTTTTTCTTAGAAATTTTTTACCCAATTATATAAACAAAAATAAGTAATTGAAGAATACGATGAACTAATGCAATTGATGTATGAGGTACTTTTATTAATTTAACTGTTGAATAAGTGAAAAGTATATTTGAACAAAATGAATCAATAAACTGCAAAAGCAAAAATAGCCATCTCTCTTACTTGAGCCAGTGATGTTGTTGTTTCTTTCTACAGGTTGATGAAGTAAGACTTTTTGTAGAACGTTTAAATCTTATCATAGTTTGACCTTTATACTGCACTGTTGCATATCTACTATTCGTAGACTTTAATATTTAACTCTATATCTTGCATGGTTATATTCGTTTCTAGATAATATATATACTAAATTTCTGATGTTTTTATACAATGTTAGCTTCTTTATGAAAGACTGAATACGAAAAATACTCGAAATACAAAATATATAATCAACGAAAAGACTTCTTAAGAATATTTAGGAAAAGATTAGATAAAAATTTATGTTTCACTAACAATGCTGAAGATAAATTTTTTTATTTTAGACTTTTAACGAGAGATGATTCATGAATGTTAAATGGAAAATTCTTTGAATTGTGAAAATAGTTTAAGAATACAATACTTATTTCATAAGAATGAAAATTTTCCTTCTTAATGTTTTTTTTTCTAGACTTAATGATTCGTTTACTATCTGGAAGAGTTCTGTCAAATCCGGTTGAATCTTTACATAAAAAAACGACAATGATTTATCATAATACAAAAGAAAGTTATAAATATAGAATGCAAACGACATTTCATTTCTAATTTTCTTTTTTTCTATAGAACAAGAAGTTAAGCCATGCAGATAATCAAGAAAAAAAAGAAAATTATGAACCCTAGAATAGACGATAGATACTTTCTTGTAAATAATCTACTATTTTAATGAATATAATCAAAATGAGTAGTACTTGTCAATATGAAAAATTATGATTAAGTATATAAAAAAAAATGTTTTGCCATTCAGTACATTTATTTACAGTCAAATTATCTGGTGAGTATTGTTTTAGATTAGAAAAAATATCTTACTAAATTAATTAATATTTGTATATATATATACTAGAATAAATCATATGTTATTTTTCCCCAGTTTATATCACCGGATATTGTTTTTATGAATAAAAAGAACTTATTTCGTAAGTATTTAAGAGACAAAATAAAAAGAAAGACATTGCAAATTTGACATATACACGCACATTGACAAAGGAAAAAGAGAACAAGAAAAAAAAATTAGATTCATGAAAATTAAAAATCATTAAATTCTTTTTCATATAAATTAATTGATGAACGAGCTGGTTCTTCATCTTCAGCATCAGGAAAATTATTTGCACGTATATCAGGTATCCATGGTGCACGAACTTTTTTTAAAAATATTTGTAACCAATCAATATCACGAAACCAAACATGTTTTTTTATATCATTTACACCATTAAACATCATACCAAGTCTTTTTGTTAAATCTTTTTGTAATAAACCACGAATAACATCAATTAAATTATCGGAAAATGCTGAACGAGGACGAAATTTTGCATTAATTATTTTATGATAAATTTTTTGTTGATCAGCATCCTATAGAAATATCGAGAAATAATTTTATTAGAGAAGAAAAATTTCTTTTTACCCAAAATGGTGAATAACCAGCATTCATTTCAAATATTAAAACACCTAATGCCCAATAATCAACACCCATATTATATCCCCGACCGAGAATGATTTCCGGTGCAAGAAATTCCGGTGTACCGCAAAGTGTATATGCTTTACCACGATCAATTTTTTTTGCAAATCCTAAAAACAAAAAATTCATTTTGTTTTGAATTGAAATAAATAAGAATTTTGTTTTTTTTTACCAAAATCACACATTTTTATATAACCAAATCGATCAATGAGCAAATTTTCAGGCTAGAAGAAAAAAAAATAAGAATTTTTTTTTTAAAGAAAAATTATTGATTTACTTTAAGATCACGATAGATGATTCCTAATAAATGAAGGTATTCAAGTGCAAGAATAATTTGAGATGCATAAAATTTCGATTTTTTTTCATCAAATTTTTCACAATCACGTAAATGTCGAAATAATTCTCCACCTTCAATTAATTCTAGACCAATATAAAGATTTGCATTGTCTTTAAATGAAAAATAAAAACGTATAATAAATGGAAAATTAAGAGATTGTAATATGCGTTTTTCATTAACAACATGATCTTCTTGTTTCATTTTATGTGCACTTTTTTTATTAATTATTTTAAGTGCTATACGATGAGATTTTAAAGAATTATCATTTGATTGAAGATAATCAGGCATTGGATCACGTATACATTTAACTTCTTTAACAGAACCAAATGCACCACGTCCAAGTGGTCGAAGAATTTGAAAATCACGATAAATTAATGTAAATGTTGCTGGTGTCACATAACACTTATCAAATTCTTCACGTGCTTGCTTATATAATTCACTTGGAATACCACCGAGTGATGTTGATGATGAATTATTCGATGATGAAGACGGACCGCTGCCCATTGGTGCATGCGTAAGAAGAACTAAAATAACATGTGCATTAATATTATTATTATTATACTGTTATAGTGAGTAAAAAAAACGACTATATCACAACAAAGAAAAATAATATAAAGACGTGCGGCGTTACATCTTATCTTTTCTTCTATTCTCGTTAAAAAAAGACATTACTATGAATTATATTTCGGTTGTTATATGTAATCGAAAGATAAAAATTCTTGTCTTTTCGATTTTAATGATACATATTCACTCAAAATCTAATACAAAAAAAAACGATATATTTATCTATCTATTGTAATAAACTAATTAATATTATATTTATTGTTTTTTTATTTCACACATTTTGTACATATAGAACGCAAGAAAATCGATCAGATACCTTCTGATAAATGTTTTCCCTCAGGCTAAGTCTTACTCATTTTCGCTTTTTTTTTTTATATAAACAAATTACTTAATTAATGACCTTCTGACATGTATTCTAAAAGACAGTAAGTAAAACGAAAACACTAAAAATCTATTCTCTCAAAAGTTTCTATTCCATTAAACAATATCATAAATCATTTTTCTCTCACATACATTTATATATATTAGAGATCTTTTCTTTCTCTCTCGTTTTTCTTTTTTTGACAAGATAAGAAATGAACATCATCATATAGACATTCAAATGCAAATGTGCCAAGAAAATAAAAATAATATTATAAAAAAAAAATCTAAATGATGATGGATGTATTCGTATTATTTATGACTAGTCAAGTTCGATATATTGTTACAAAAAAATAAAAAAAATAGTCTTTAGTTTTAATAATTAACTTAAAAAATAAATCTGTTTAAAAGAAGAAGAAGACGAGACGAAGAAAAAAAAGCAAAAGTATAAATATACTTATATAAAAGGATAATTCTTAAAATTAATCTATTTCATTATTGCCTCTTGAGATAGTATAATAAAAGAGTATAATGTAGATGATAAGAGAAGAAAAAACTTTGCATGACTATCTTTTTCTGACATGCACCGCTCATAGAAACAATGTGTATGCATTTCTCGTCAAAGACTTACTACGCTTATTCTAATATGATCAGCAAGAACGTCAGTAATAGTAAGAGGCATAGTTCGTGTTTCCTACATCATCATTTCTCTCTCGAGTTACACGACAAAGTAGTAGTACTACTAGACATCACTCAATTCTATAGAAAGATTCATGCACGCATATGCTTTTTATCCTAGTTCAATTGAACAAGAACTATAAAGATAAGAAAAAAACTGCGTTGGTCTGTCTAAAACAGATCTTTCGTCTGTAGAATTTACACAATTATTAATTGTGAAAATAAAAAAAGAAAGAAAGAAAACTAAACATTGATATTACAATCAATATAAAGATGAGTATTCTTCTTTTTTATTTTCGTCTAACTAGAAAATATAACAACAATAAAGAAAGAGAGAGAGACAGAAAAAAAATATTACCTTTATATATTTTTTATTATTACAGAATATTGTATCAATTTTTTTATTATGTGTTCAATAATATTATATGAGAAAGAGAAAAAAAATATGATACTTTCTTTTTTTTCTTCTTCAATGGCTTTCTTTTAATTAACTGATGTCCATTAAAATTAATTCAATGGTTTCTTTATTCTATTGTTCTTTCTCTATTGCTATGCGCGCACCCTGTAATATAAACAAAAAAGCGAAAGAAGAAGA